GCAGACATTTGGCTCTGCCTTTTTGGGGCTAGATCTGGGCTCGGTGGACAAGTGTTTGCTGCCACATCTCACTCCAGTTTTCAAAAGTGTGTTACACCTCTTGTTCTTGTCTGTTGGGAGCTGAAATCAGACCATGGAGGCAGCCTTTTTGCTTTCTGACTGCTCCTTGTTTTAAGGTGCGTCATTCTGTAAGAAGTGATGGCAGACTCTTTTCTCAGAGGAGATCATCCCTCTTGGCATGAATTCAGCACTTAACAGAAGTGTTCTGAGTGTTTCTTCCAGGAAGAGATAAATATGCCCAGGCTTTATGACATAAGTCAAACCCCAGCATCTTCTGTGTTATCAGAAGAGATATTTATTGTCTCCTGCCACATTCTATGCACCTTCTGCCGAGCGGTTGGCAGTGTCCTCCAACAGACACTGAACAGGCTGCATTTGCAGTGTCTCAGGTGAGACAGTTGCCAAAACACAGGCATCCTGTGCCACCATTGATGCCCCAGGGTGTCTTACCTGTGCTCCAGCTGCTGCTCCCAAAGAGTCCAGGTCCGTCAGGGATGCTGGGTCAGCGCTGGCAGCCGCAGGGGGACGTCTTGCTTAGTCTAAGGGGTTTAAAGTGGTGCGACCTCCTTGTTTAGGCCACCAAGTCGCGCCTCAATCATCTGATTTCTCTGGTCGGTGAAGTTGAGAATGACAGACCGACTAAACAACTGACCACTAAAGAATAGAGAATCAGGAAAAATGGATTTCATAAATCATGTAAGAAACCAAAGCCTTGCTCCCTGTCGTGTCTGGGCAGTAGCTTCTCACTGACACTCTCCTCTTTGCAGAGAGTACAATCATCGCCCTCCAAACCCTGCAGCCAAGCGCCGTGCCAGCCGCCCGCAGGCAGCCCGCAGCCGCCCGCGCAGCCGCAGCAGCCCAGAGGACTGCACCAATCTGCCCGAAAGGTAGCCTGCACCTGCGTGCGTTTCTTCCTTGTTTCCTTTGCCTGCTGTCAGGCTTGCAGTGCTGGGAATGCAGGCCAGGGACATCAGCAGGGCAGGAGAGGGCTCACAGCTCTCTGCCACAGCTTGCAGTTGCGTGGGGCATCTGTTTTCAAGCTTGACTGCGGCAGCAGAAGAGGTACCTGGCACATATTCTCCATTCTTCTGTGTTCTGCTGACCTAGCTGTGCTTTACTGTCAGCTTTTCAGGTTCCACAAGGTATTGCTTGAGGGGCAGCTGTGGAGAATACAGGAGTTTTACAGCAAAGAGTTCTGGACTTAGCCCTAGCAATTACTGCCTTATGGTCAACACCCTGGACAGAAGAGCAGCTGGTGTTTTGAGCAGGCATTTTCTATCAGTTGAAAATGAAGAGAGGCCAGAATGGGCAACTTTGGTTTGCAGCAGTGCTCCCTATTCTTGAAGTATTACTGCTTAAATTGAAAGGTGATCAGTGCATGGAGAGCTCTCACCAGAGGCTAGCGTGGGCAGTACGTCTGCTACAGAAGGTGGGACACGAGCTCTGAGAGGGGCAAGAGGATGTGACCTGTTAGTGACTGCTCCTGATGAGCCTTGCGGAAATTTCAGGTCCTGTGTCTGAAACGTATCTGCTAATTACGTCTGTGCAAAGGAGATTTAAGGAAGAGAGCACCTCCAGCTTTACCCCTTCTCCAGGGGGCATCTATAAAGATACCTTGCTTGTTCTTCTCCTCTCATTCTAGCCCTGCTCAGGGATATCTAACAGGTAGTCAGGATAAAACATGGAAAGATTATGAAGAGCTTCTAGACCTTGGAGGATCGCTGTTGAGTCAGATCCTGAAGCAAATGTGAAGACAGTCGTTACTTCTGGCTTGGTCAGAACATGCTGTCCTGTCAGGCACGTTGCAAAGGGGCCATGCTTTGGGTCACTCGGAGACCTCTGCCGAAAGGCAGCGGTGAACAAAGACACCTTTCTCCCCCAGTCTCCTTTGCCCGATGGCAGTCAGTGCCTGATCTTAGCTCACGTACTGTGGAGGCAGCTGTAGTGACTCTCCTAATCTTTTTGCCTCCTGTAGGGTGAGAAGCCAGGCCTGCAGGTGGGCACGGGGCAGCTGCCCCACACCATATTGTCTTTCTCAGCACCTCCAAACCTGCAGCCCTTCTTCCTCAACGGTTTCCACAAAGGGTCCCTGAAAACTGGTGCTCCTGGCAAAGCCGGCCAACCCAGTGTGCCAAAAAAGGTACCCTCCCAGCAAATCCCAGTGGCCCGGGCCACAATGCCAGTTTCCAGCCCCTCTCCAGTGGAGCAGACCCCAGAACAGCTCTGTAGGGACCTGGGGGGTCACTCATGTACACCCAGATCAAAGAAATGATGAGAAGATTTGCCAGGGAAAATGGGCTGGGGAGGAACAGCAACACGTGGTGGGACTGGAATTCAGCTAGTGTGCAGGATTCATCGCTTCAGTGGAGCCAGCTTCCATGTAGCTCCCTCACAGTCGCTGTAGAGGCAAAGGCCTCATCTGTGTTTTGGTGTTTCCTCTGGGCAGTTGCTTGCTGACTCACTGGTGAAGCTGAGTCACTAGCACCACTTCCTGCAACATTTTGGGGTTTCCTTTGGAGATCTCTGGTGTTTCTGAGTGCTCTGGTGCTCCCCACCCACCTTCAGGCTGTGGTATTTGCTGCCAGTGAAGCTTCACTGTCCCTGCAGCAGGCCCTGCCGCGAGCGGCGCGGAGGAGACAGCTCCTGGCCCATACGTTATGGAGCAGCGCGAAAGCCGTGTGGGAAATGCCCTGCTCTCCCCAGAGTATCAGAGGAATGTCCCACCTGGGCACACCAAGCTCTCTGCTGGTGATTTTGGCAGAAGGTCTGGAGCTGTGATTCGGAGGGGAACTGCGTCCCGCTGCCGCGCAGCCAGGGCCGAGCATGCGGCTCCCCTGGCAGCAGCCGGGCGGTGGGAGCAGAGCTGCAGGCTCCGGCGCAGCCCTCGCCGAGGGGGCGAGGGACTCTCAAATCAGCTGTGAAGCGGGAAGCTCATGGGGGTTTCCCCTACTCACTCCTGCTGCCTTTTTGTCTAAATAGCCCTCGTCACAGCCCGGCTCTCCTGCTGCCCCTTCCCCATCCCAGATGGACCTGGAGCAACAACAGCACCCATCGCTTTTTGGAACTCCTCCACCTCCTCTCCCCGTTCCCTTGGTCCCAAAGAAAGAGCCGCCAGGCTATGAAGAGGCAATGAAGCAAGAGCCAAAAACCGAGGAGGTGAGAGCACTTCTTTCCCCTGCGGAGCATGTGAAAAGATGCTGCAGATGCTGTTGTAAAGCCACTTAAATATCCAGTCTGAGCAAGTAAGAGGAATCAGAACCCAAACAGGTCCTTTCTAGCTGAGCTTTCCCATTCGAATTCCTTCTGGAGGGTGTGGGGAGGATCCAAACTGCAGGTAGAGATCCCACACTGGTCACTTCCAGAGAAGTGTTCACGTCGCAGTTGCTGAATCTACCCTCATAGAGCCTGGGGTTATGGCCGGAGTCCGGTGCCAGGGCTGGGTGTGTTTATCCTGGCTGGGCGAGACCGATCCCTGGGGCGAGGGAGGAGAGGAGGCGGCCGAGGCGGCTGCAGGAGGCCCCTAAGCTGGAAGCCCATCTTGTGCTCTCTTCCCAGGAGAACGGCTGTTCCAGCCAGCAGATGGACGACCTGTTTGACATTCTCATCGAAAGTGGGGGTAAGGAGACGAGCCCCGTGGTGGGGCTGGCTTGGCCTCCGAGGAGCATAGAGGATGAGGCGTGTGCACCATGTCTGCGTGGCCCAGGCCTCTGCTCCTGTAGGGTCTTGGATCATTGTTGTAGGCCGTTGTTGCGGTGCGGAGGGGCTGTCAGTGGGGCGCTAGTGGCGTCTTTGCCGCGCTTGTTCTGGGTCATCGTCTGCAGTGTGAGGAGAGCTGAAACCCCTTGGCGCGCCAAAGGGCTTCCCATACCCATGTGTGCCCAGGGAGGGGGTTGCCCATTGCCACGGTGGGCAGGAGGGCTCTTCCCTGTGATGGGCAGAGCCTTCCCTCACTCGGGCGCCCTGCTTGTTTCCTGTGCAGAGATTTCTGCTGACTTCAAGGATCAGTCATCCCCAGCTGGGAAAGAAGCCCCCGCGGCGCCAGCCGCCCCCTCGCCGCCCAGCAGCCACCATTCCGCGGAGCTGGCGGCCCCCGGCGCCCTGGCGCAGACGGTGCTCGTGGGCCGCCTGGAGGACTTCCTGGAGAGCAGCACCGGCCTCCCGCTCTTGACCGCAGGCCACGACGGGCCGGAGCCCCTGTCGCTGATCGACGATCTCCACAGCGAGATGCTGAGCAGCTCAGCCATCCTGGACCACCCGCCTTCACCCATGGACACCTCGGAATTGCACTTTGCTCACGAGCCGGCCGGGGGCATAGCCCTGGATCTGGCTGAGGCTAACTTGGACAGCATGCACTGGCTGGAGCTGCCAGGGGGGCCTGTCATGAGCCTGGCTCCCCTCAGCACTGCCGCTCCCAGCCTCTTTTCCACAGACTTCCTTGATGGACATGATCTGCAGCTGCACTGGGATTCTTGCTTGTAACTCTGTGAGCAGAGACTGAAGGGAATGGGTTTGGGAGGGCATGGGCATGCGGCAGGGCCAGGGGGAGAGGCCAGTCAACCAAAAAAAAAGAAAAAGAAAAAGCGCTCCTAGTATTTGTACTGCTCCCTCTGAGCAGGGGCCTTCCTTCCTGGCAGCTGGGGCAGCAAGGCCGAAGCGGCCGCCTGGGCCACGGCTGCCAGGGCCGAGGCTGCGGGAGCTGCGGGGCCAGCGGCCTCCTGCCCTCTGGCTGCAGCCCGGCCCCGGGGGGCTGCAGGGAGAAGGGAGCTGCCTCGCGGCAGGACTTGCTGTGAGGGGCCTGTGCTCTGCTCTCTGGGGGCAGCAGATGTAACTAACGGGGGTGCAAGAGGGTTCCACCTCCAGAGTGGGTGCAGAGCGGAGCCTGCTGCCTGTGGGGCTGGGGGGCAGAGGGCCAAGGTCTGACCTGCCGCTGGGCAGAGCGAGGCACTAGGCAGAACGGGCACCTGGTGCCACTGTGGCCAAACCAGGGTCCCCTTCCCCAACCATGGTATCGTCTGAGCTGGTTTCCCAACTATTGCTGAGCTTGGCAGGGGCCTGCCCTGCCAAGCAACATTGCTTTGGGCTGCAGAAGATTTTAAGGTGCTAAAACCGAGGTCCTTGTGTGTTAAAATCTGTCTTTGCTGCCTCAGACCTCTGGCTGTGCCGTTGGGCTCTCTCCCCGCTTGTTCCCAGTCAGGTCCCTAGTGACAGGCTCCCCTGGCTGGTAGCAGCCGGCACGGGGCAGGGCTGAGCGAGGCCGTCGGCCTGCGGCTAGAGCCAGGTAGGCAGCCGCAGGCTGAGGGGCAGAGCTGGCCACGAGCAACATATCATTAGGGGCCACGTGCAATTTGTCTCCGGCCTTCAGCTCTGCTGTTGTCCCCCTGCTCAGCTCAGGTCCCGAGCAGGGAGAGCGAAGGCCCTCCGGGCACGGGGCCTTGCCTGGCCGCGGGGAGGCCGCTGCGCCCTGGCCTGGCTCGCGGAGGGCGTGCGCAGAGGCCTGTCCTGTGCCTGCTGCGTGCGACACTGCGGCCGTTACGTTCCCACACCGATGCCAAGGGCAGCTGCCGGCCGCTGAGCAGAGGCAGGTTGTTCCCCAAGCCCCTCTAGTGACGTGACGCTGCTGCTGCCGCTGCTGCGCAGGTTTTTGTTTTGGTAGCACGGAGCTCTCGCACGCCGTTTCTCCTGTCATTTACAAATTCCTCGTGTGTCTGTTGGTGGCAGCTTGCTGCAGTATTTACCAGGTGAGCCCTAGCCCAGCTGCAGCTGCAGGGCCTCTTCTGGGTGCAGCTCTCCCCGGTTGGGGTCTGCCCCAGCTCTGGGCAGTGCTGCATCCTCTACTGCTGGAGATGGGGCAGCGCCGTGGCACGGCCTGCACAGGAGGCAGGTGGGGCTGGGGGACCCTTCCTCCTGCCGGGAACAAGGGGAAGAGCTGTGAAAGATGAGGCGCTCCAACTAGAGCAAAATCAGCTCCTTTTGGCCCAAAACGAGCAGCAGCCTCCACAGCAAGAGCTGTGTGACCCTTTTTGTACAAATAGGTAATTACAAAGTAGTGACTAGCACATAAAGAATAAAACCATCCAAGTGCAATGATACCCCAGAGGAAGGTGGGAGCGGGCCAGGCGCAGCCGCCCCCTCCCCATCCTGCAGCGCTGGGCTCTGGCTGGAGGGAGCCGTGCTGGGAGCACAGCAAGCGCTGGCCGAGAACCCCCAGCCCGGTACTGACTGCGCCTGCCTGGAGCAGCCTGTTACAGCTCCCTCCCCACAGGCAGGATGAGCTCACATAGCTGCTCCCTTTCTCCTGTACCCAACCCGCTGAGTTGTGGAACTTGTAGCAATTTGATCACATTAAACGTACCCAACACACTTGAAACTGGCTGATGGGCTCGAGAGCTTTTGAGTTGCCGAGGCAGGACAGAAGCACAGCCCTCCTCTCCTCAGCAAACCCAAGATCTGCCCAAGCCCCTCTGGCCCGAGGCCTCCCGCTAGGAGAGCGGGTGACAGCCCTGGGCTGTGGGGGCAACACGGGGCCTCAGCGCAGGTGGAATTAGAGCGGTCTCCTTCCCCCAGGGGCTCAGAGCCGCCCGGCACAGCAGCAGCCCAGCCCCCTTCTCTGCTTTCTTACTATTATTTGTTTGAATAATAGTTCAATAGGTCTGTGTTGGAAGAGGTATTCCCCTGGATATACATTTTTTTTGCACCCCTTGGGAAAAAAGAAACAAAGTCTGATGTTCTGCCTCTACCTTGAATGTAATCCTGAATCTTTCTGCTGTAACCACTACTTGTTTGTAATGTGTATTGACTAGCACGCACTCTCCCTTCCACTATGCAGCAAACAGCAACAGGTGAGCGGCGCCGCCCGAGACGGACCGTGTCGGGGCAATGGATCCAGAGCACGTATTCAACTGGAAAAGGACAAGAGTGAGAAGTTAAGGGGGGAGAGAATGGATCTTTAAATTGAATTATTTTTTCAGTTACAAATATTTGAAAAAAAATCCATTTTATTAAAAAAAATCTGAAATCTGAAAAATCTCTGCTTAAAGACTTCACTATGCGGGTGGGAGGCCTGAGAGCATGGGGGTGGGTGTGGAAATTACCTACCGTGCCAAGGGGCCAGAAGTTGGCCTCATGGTAGGAGAAGCAAGGACAGCTTTTAAAAGCCACCCCCAGCCTCGGTGCGCCAGCGTGCAGTACCTGCAGGCCCCACTGCTGGAAGTGCTTGGAATGGAAATGCGCTGATTTTCACCTCAGCAAACAGGGCTTTTACTCTTTCTGGCTTGCGTGAACACACGTTCCCCTGGACACGCGCTCGGGCACGAGGACGGTGCCACCCCCGCCACTGCCTTCTCCTGTACCTGCCCTCCCCTCCCGCCTCAGTGTCCCAACGTTGTGGAGCAGGGGCTGCCCCGTGCTCCCTGCTAAGGGCGCTCCTGCTGCAGGGAGCTGCCCTCGCTCTGCTTGGCCTGGTCCTCGGGCCCTCCGGCCTCGCGGGGCTCTGCCGCAGCCGGCACTGCTGGCCCAGGGCAGCTGCTGTGAGCGGGAACCACGGGCACCACCACCTCACGCACCCGCAGGGACACGGACAGAGGCAGCGCCCTGCTCAGCACAGGGCAGGACCTGGCCCTGCTGAAAAACCAAGCCCAGACCTAGATCTCTCCCAAGATGCAGTTTATTTACAAACCCACAAAAAAAAAAAAAATACAGTAAGAATCTAGTGTCATTTCATGAGTAGTTTGTGCTCACAGACAAGCGCTTTCAGTAGAAAGTCACAGACTCCATATCCAGAGCCACCACCACAAAGCAGCAAATCTCCTCTCCTGACCCGCTCCCCTGCGGCTGCCGCAGGGCGAGGACGAGTTAGTCTCCCTGAGCCGGCTCCAACCTGAACCCCATCCTGAGCTACAACAATGCCAAAATATACACATATTCCTACAGTTAATTTACAGCTTTTTGGTTAACAGTAAAAATAATCTAGAGACTAAAACGACAGCATGAAACACCTCCTAAGGGGAGAGTTGGTTCTTGCCTGCTTCAGAGCCAACAAGACCCATCCCCTAAGGCCGCTGCAGTGGTAACGGGCCGTGCGCTGGGGCACCTCCTGTCAGCAGCCCCATGCTCACGGGAGGCGCCCAATGGCACCTTCCCCCTCTCTGCTCCTGGGCAGAGGAACTTGTCCAAGCGCATCAGGTTTTGCCTTCCCCTTCCTGAGGGAGGCAAGCCCTCGGCTGCCTCCCTGCTCCCTGCCCCCGACACCAGCTCCCACAGCTCCAAGCTGCCCCGTGAGGGCTGCCTCCTCCCCACAGCTCCCACGTTGGCACATGCACAGAGCTGCTGGCCGCCACGTGAGGAGAGGGGCTGTGTGCTGCGTCCCTTGGCCCTGGGGGAGGCAGGGCAGAGGCAAACACGAGGTCTGGGGGCCTGAGGGTGAGAAGACTGGGAGGGGGACACTTGTTTTTGTGGACAGAGCACACTCGTCCCTGCACAGCATCAGGCTTGACCATCATCTCCCTCGGGTCTGCAGTGCATCCCCTCGGCCCTGCTGCCCTTTGTCCCAAGTGGCCTGGCAGCCCCCGAGGGGGATTTTCTGTCACAGATACAAGTGGGAGAGGAGGGGGTTGGGAAGGCGGCGGAGGGGAACTGGAGGAGGACGAAAGAAGAGTGTGTGCCTTTGAGAAGGGTCCCCAGGGGAGGGTGGGGTGCGGGTCACCCATCTATGTCCCAGCTGAAGAGATGGTGCTTCACCAGCATGTCCTGCACTCCTTCCTTCAGAGGCTTCTTCTCCTTCTCCTGCAGGACAACACAGAGAGCCAGGTCACCAAGTCCCAGAAAAGAGCGTGAGCAGAGCCCGAGCATGCAGCACAGAGGACCATGGCGCTTGGCCAGAGCAGCCTCCTGCACTTCCACCTTGGGGCAGCTGAAGCAGGGAGAGGTCCTGCGGTCTGGAGAGCCCCAGGGCGGGGATGGGAGGTGCCTGACATTTCCCTGTGCCCCGGCTGGGCAGGCACAGGCAGCACCGAGCTCGGCCAGGAAAGCAGCCTGGCCCACGGCCCCTGGCAGCAGCTCAAGAGGATGCGGAAGATGGGGGAGAGGAGAGCCAAGGGGCCCCCGGGAAGGAGATGCTAAAGACTCACCTCCCTCTTTATGGGCAGCTCCCAGTCCTGGGAGAGGCTGAAGGCGAACTTGCAGAGCACCCTGTGGTGGAGGGGAAAAACGGTTACTCGAGCACACGCTGTGCGCCCCCAGCCTGCGCCCTGCTGCTCTCCCCAGTCACACAAATGCAGCAGCTCCTCAGCCTGCCCCAGGAAGGGCACTGCGAGCTTGGAAGGAAGGAGATCTGTGTTTCTTAGCATTGAAGGGGCAGCAGTAGCAGCAACCACTGGTTCCCCCATCCCTCTGGGCTTCATATCCATCAGACTTGGGCTGGGAAGAGAAGCTTGAAAACACGGCTCAAGTGCAGCCCCTAGAGAGCTTCGCACAGCAGTGCAGGGATGAGCCGCAGCCCCCTGCTCATGCGGGGGGCGGGAAGCCAGTGCTGGGGATGCAGCCGCTGGATGCGGCGCGTTCCGTGCAGGCTTGGGCATGAGAAGCAGATTTCAGCCCCTGACACCTCTCCCCGCCTGAAGCGGCCGCAAGCTCTGGACATGATTAACCACCTCCCAGCTGGGCTGTCGGCCCGGCTCCCCAGCAGGATCCCGGCTCCAAAGGGCTCACAGAAGCAAAGGTCCTGACGCGCGGGGAGGGCGGCAGGGGCAGTCTCTCCATGACAGCGGGCGCAGCAGCTTCCCAGCTGGGCTGTCGGCCCGGCTCCCCAGCAGGATCCCGGCTCCAAAGGGCTCACAGAAGCAAAGGTCCTGACGCGCGGGGAGGGCGGCAGGGGCAGTCTCTCCATGACAGCGGGCGCAGCAGCAGGCTGAGGCCAAGCAGACGCTGCCTGCTCATCACCGCGGCTCCCCAGGAGCCGGGCTCTGCTCTTGGTGAGGGGGCGCAGCATATCCCACCAAACTGCCTATGTGGTTGCTGCTGCCTCCACACACAGGACCAAGACTGCAGCAGAGCAGTCTGGGCAGCAGCACTGTTGGATGGAGCTGGCTGCAAACCCGTGGCAGGAAGACCCACCTCCTGCACAGGAGAAGGAAAGTCACCCCAGGCCCTGGTGAGGCCTACAGCGATGAACTCACCTCAGCTCACACTTGATCTGCACCCAACCAGGACTGCGCAGGAAGGACCAGGGATGGAACCACTTCTCCACAGTCTGCAGGCTCGAGCAAAGCACCTCCAGCCACAAATGCAGCACTTGCTCACTGCAGTGATGGGACAGAGGCACATTTCAGGGCTACACCAGGGAGAGGAGCCCCATCTCTTTGGATAGGCTATTTTCAGCCCAAGCCTTGTCCCCCATGAGACAGGATACTGCAGGAAGCCTGAACAGGCCACACTAAGCAATGAGAGTTGCTTCTTCCAGCCAGCAGCCAGGCCAGCGCACGCAGTAAGAAAGAAGCAGCTCTTGGCTGCTGCTGTCAGAGGGGAAGAAAGCCCCCATGGTCCAGGCTAGGGATTGAAAAAACTGCTGCCTTTGAACCTGCTCTGCCCGTTTCCAAGCTCCTTGCACCCAGGATACCAGAGACTGGATGACTTACTTTAGTCCGATGCAAATAAGGGAACGAAGCTTCACGTCCATCTGTGCATGTGCAGCATCGTGCGTCATGTTCACAGCCTGAACTGCCTGCGGGGTTGGAAGATGTGGTTACTGTCTTCTCCCAGCTCAGCCCCAGGCTGTGCTAAGCCCCCTCACCTGTTCCCCACCCTCACCTGGTGCCACCTGCTAGGACTCACAGGGCTGAGACTCCCTGATCAGCTCAGCCTTCTGCCTTTCCTTGAGCACCTGGCATCTCTACTCCTCAAAGGGAAGATTTGGGAGGCTCATAAGCACCTCTGTAGTGGGGCTGACTCATGAGGATGCAAAGGATGGGCTAGGGTGCAAAGCCTAGGCACTCTAGCTGGCCTGGGGACAACACTCACCCGGTAAAGGAGCTCCTCTGGTGTGAGGACTTTGCCATCTTCATCGAGCCTGCAAAGATCACAGGAGAGAGCTAACGAGCTCCAGAATCACCTGGGCACCTGCAGCCCTGCCCCCTACACATCCCAACAGCAGCAAGAGCTCCCCTGCTTCATGCTGAGCCTGCAGGGGACCCTGCAGCTGTGAGAATGCAAGTCACAGCCCCAGCTGCAGACACAGCAGCCCAGGGAAGGGGCCCCAGGCCAGCACAGGCACAGCAGTTCACTGACAGCAGAGCCGCGGGAGGAGGAGGCAAGCCAAGACCTTCCCGAGGTGGAAGGCAGTAGGAGTTTGACAAGAACACAGGAACAGGGCATAGACTTAACCGTTTGGTGTGAATAAAGCAGCCTTACCTGTAAGTCTTGCAGAGCACGAGGCGGGAATACACTGAATCAAAGTCCCGTTCCACTTCCCGACTTGCAGCCTAGATGGGCAGAGGGGCAGTCAGGACACAGTGCCCCACAGTCCCTCACCCCAGCCCTCTGGCAACACCGAGACACCTCACCTCCTCAATGAACAGCCAGGGGTGGCAGGGCCCCCCTAGCAGAGATGGCTTCTTCAGTCCATGTTCAAAGATGGACTTCAAGGCTGGGCAGAGCGTTCCCCGCACCAAGTCCGTAACCCCTTCCGTGACGGTGTCGTCGCCAGCGATGGAGTACTGCGGAACAGGCAGGGCCCGCACTCAGCACCTACACCTTTTCCACACACGCCTCACCCCACGCTCAGGTGGGCACCAACTCCCTCCCTCACCAGCTTGTGCACGAGGCCCCAGGCTGGGCACTTAGATCTGCTGGGACACCAGGAGCTCTGTGCCTGCTGCTGCCCTGGAGAGCACAGGGCTGAGAGCAGTGCCATCGTGGCAGCCCATGGGCGCTGCTGTGGTCTGGTGGGCACCTGGCTCAGCTAAGGCACAGGTGGGGACATGCACCAAATCTCTCAGCTCTCTGGGACTCCATCAGCTGCTAAAGGGCAACACCAACAGGGAGAGATGGGAATTCCCAGGTTGGCTGTGTTGCCACTCAGATACCGCCCCTGCTTGCTGTTAGCTTGGAGCTGGGGGCTGCTGTTGTAACAGCAACATGCGAAAATTAGGATGACTGGGAGCCTCTGTATTTCCACAGCTGGGAGGACAACGGCTCAGGCTCAGCAGGAGAGGCCGTGTGTTTGTGCACTTAGCAGTACGCAGCCTGTGTCTGCGGCACCAGCCCCAGGAAGGCACTGGCAAAAGCAGCTGCTAAGTATCAGTAGCAGCATCTCCCTAGGGGCTTCACTTGCGCTCTCACTCAGCCCTCAAGCCTTCCTTCAGTCTCTGAATGATGAGGAGCAGAGGGAGATCAGGGCCTCCAAACTGCCTAGTCCGAAGTCTGATGACCTTTGCTTCCTTACTCACAACCCCAGCCTTGCAACTATATTGAAACTATCACGTACAGAAATGTTTGCTGGGCTTTTCCTTCTCTCACTTCTAGCACTAAAACCACAACTACTGTAAGACTGGAGCAGGAGCCACGTCCGAGCGCTTCCAGGCAATGCTGGACAGAGGCCAGCTCTCTCACCACTGCAGACACGAGAGGAACTGAGAGAGAGGACCTGCCAGGCAGCGCCACTCAGGGAATCCCACCGTGATGGCCACAGAGCTTGAGCAGGAGCAATAGGGACAGCCCCAAAGGAGAGAGTGAATGAGCACAGGCAGCCAGGGACAGGCGGAAATGCTGGATACCTCCATACCTCATTCACAGCTTTCCCAAAGCTCATCTCTGAGGGCCTTGCAAGCCCTGGCCCCACACTCAGCTCCCCCCAAACCTGTGGGGCCCCACTCCATGCATAGCCACCACCAGGAAGTTGAGCCAACAGGCTTAGGAACATAAGCTGCTTGGTGACACCATCAAGCACTAAACAGCCAGAGAGAAGCAGACTCAAGCAGAGAAATGCATGGCTCTCTTCAACTACAGTTTTTCAAATATACATATTTATTATTATTATTATTACTATTATTATTAAAGAAACTTACTTCTTTGCTCCGCTCATCCAAGATCTCAACAAACTTTGCAGGAAACCAGCCTACAAAGGGTGAACAAAAAAGACATGAGCCTGGCACGGACACTGAGAAAATCCTACAAGATCAGAGGCCAGTGACAACAAGGGTTCACAGGATGGCAAAGAAGACAGTGAGCAGCCTTAAAATAAAAATCAGGGCAGCTGCAAGAGGAAGCCATTTACACAACACCACCCCCAAGCAGCAGAGAGAGCAACCAGCCAGCCACTGGGTCCAGGAGAACCCGGCCTGGGACTGGTGTTTGCAGAAACGAGGGGTCTGCAGTGCTGCTCTCCTGCCCGGCTACAGCAGTTCCTCTTCTCCGACAGGCGACTGGCAGTCTTGGCTCACACGGGTAAAGCACATGGAGAGCAGCTGCTGTGGATGAAGGGACGCTTCACAGCCCGCCCCACTTCTCCCAGGCCAGCCCTTCCCGCTCTCACCTCTCAGTCCATTCAGCTCTCCCACCCAACAGTGCTCATCCTTCTGGGAGATGATCTGGAAAAGGAAGAATGGAAAACACTGGTTGAAGAGGGGATCAGACAGTGATTTCTGAGCACTGACAGCAGGGCATAGTGCTACCTCCCACGTTTTCACGCTCTCCACAGCAGAGTGGGTACAGGGCCAGGAGAACTATGCTGCCTGGCTGTGCATGCACAGCGAGGAGTGACTTTTTTCCCTCAACTATTGTGCCAGTGTCTTCTTCCTACATGGCTGAGAGCCTTGAAGAGCAAACGACTGCTACAAACACAAAGCCACCCCCACTTTCTGCAACTGTAAAGGGACTGGTGACAGCTAAAAGACAAATGGAGGCCTTTTCAGTCCCACCGCATCCCTGTGCACAGCATTCAATCTGGACCTAGGTTGGACCAAATCAGCTGTTTGGCAGCCAGAAAACAGACTGTGTGGCTGCATCAAGGATGACCCATTAGACAGAGCTCATGGGACCATGTCTTGCCCCCACGCAGTCCCCAGAAGCCCACGCTGCTTCCCTCGGCCCCCTGAAGCGGGCTCCGAGCCAGCCCTCCTCTCTTGCGCAGCGCTCCCCAGCCAGCTCCGCCGGCTCCTGGCGGCCCCTCGCGCGGCGCGGCGCGCGCACCGTGATGATGTCGTTCTTGCGGAAGCCCAGCTCGTCGTCGTCGTGCCGCTCAAAGTCCAGCAGCGCCTTCGCTCGCCGCCGCCGATTGCGCGAACAGGCCACGTAGTTCTCGTGGTCCCGCTGGTGGCTTTCCATGCTGTAATCCGGAGTCAGATCCTGGCACGCATGTGCATGAAGAGTAAAGACGAATGGAAAACAACAGACAACTCAGCTGCTCTACTAAAGTGCAACCTATTCTCCCCCGCCTAGCAGGCCACAAATCTCCCAGCACAGCCCTCCTGCTCCAAGAGTAGGTTGAGCATCCCTCATCTTCCACCCATCACTCCAGCCTAGAAGCCTAGATGCTCCAAGAGCGTTAGGGCAGCCCTGGCCTGCAGGGCAGCAAATACCCAACCGTTATGCCTGGAGCGCACAGCAGTGCTGAGCCAGCTGTCCCCACTCACAATGCTGCAGTTCTTGGGATCCACGCACTGGAAGTGCCGTGCCACCTGCAGGATGGCCTCCCGCAGGTCGGCCACCAGCTCCGTCTGCTTGATGTTCTTGGCTTTCAGCGCCTCCAGGTCGTCATCCCCTGGGGAAGCCCCCAGAGCCAGAGAGGAGAGGAGGGGAAAATAAGTGCATGGCATTTATTTGTTGTTCAGATCAGAACTAACTTGATTTACATAAATCAAACAAGCTCAACATTAAGACTGACTGTGTCAAGGTGTATTTACTCCCACCTATTTAATAGTGTAAATAATATATCAACAAGACTGCCTCAAACTTTACAGAGCTGCTATTTCAAAACACATATGGAACTGGAGTATGCCATCTTCTATCTTTTCGGGCAAGCCAGTATGCCAAGGCACCGTGTGCTGCATTAGAGAAGTGTCTGCGTGGTATGCAGAGACAGCAGAGTGAGGGGTGAACCCAAAGGCAGGAAACTTTCAAAACTTCTCTTGAACTGATGAAATTCAAACAGTTTTTGTTTGAATTACTTTTGATTTTTACATATGAGAGCTCACAGGCTGAGGGTCCTGAAAAAGCAAAGGTGAAATACCAAGACAGCCCACTTCCCTATGGCAGTCTAGGGTTTAGAGCCATGAGGGAGAAGAGCCCAGCTCCCTCGAGACCTCAAGCTCCCCAAAAGTCAATATTCAAGGGTACAGATTGTGTTATCAAAGCACCTGCCAACTTTCACCAATTTCCACAGGAGCTCTGAGAGCTTCTCTCTGTTAATGTAGGCAGAAAGACACCTAGTGGATTAATTCTTTAGACACCACTTAGTACACCACTTGTCTTCTATCAACACTGCAGGAATCAATACAGTATGGTGTGAGCTACACAGCCACTGTAGTAAACAGCTACATATAGATGACGAGTAGCACCCCACTTAATGAAAAATGACATCCAGTATCTTTTAATTATAACTGATACCAATTAAAAGCACCAAAATTTTTAAAAACATAACTGGAAGCACAAAAGTAGACTAAAATAATGGAGTTTTTAAAATTTTTCCTCCTATTTGCCAAATTAAAAGATAAATGGATGAGATTTAGCCAAGGAAGGTTCAAGAGAAACCCAAACTTCTAATCCAAGCAAGGAAAAATTAACAATGCCACCTTTGCAACGTTTCTCTCCAAGGTTAAGAAATACAGCATATAAGAAGCCTCACAACAGATTCAGAGATACAAGATTATAAACTGATAGCTGATCAGGCAGGTGTTGGGAGTTCTCAGACGTGTTAGAATCAGAACACGACTAAAGAAACAACCTGAGTGCAGCCATGTTAGCTCAGTGGGCCGCTCTCATTTCTGCAGATGGGCTCTTTCTTTTATCATTTGGCCTTGTCTGGCCAAAACACTGTGCTCCTCCCTCTGTATCCAGCTGAATCCCATCCAGACACAAGTATGAGATGCTATTCTGCACCCTCCCACCTCAAAACATACAGATTACAGAGGAAAGCAACTGGGGATTCCACCAGATGCACCTCACTGCACCCCACGCACCTGGGGGATTAGGCAGGTGTGGGGAGGCTCAATTTTGGGCCTAAGTCATGCTGAGGAGCGCCACCTCTCCTGCATTTCCTTGTTGCAATGACCATTCAACAGAAAAGGGGAATACATACATCTCCCCTAAACTACATTTCCTATTCCCTCATTAGCAACCTGATCTGTCTAGCAGAGATTCAAGGAGACAAAGTCTTGGCTGACCTGATCTAGTTCTGGAACTAGCTTGAAGGAGGAGATGTTTAGGCTAGAGACCTCCAAAGGTCCTTTTCAAACAGTGCACCTGTGGCTCTACAATTGCCCAAGTTACTCTTAAGACTCCTCTCACTTTAAGGAAAAAGAATTAGATCCTAGAGAAATTCTTCTTCAGGCTATGAATCTATTCCACAAAACTGTCACAGGCAGCAGATCTTACAGTTAAGATTGTCACTTTCCAAGATAGTAGCAGATTTATCACACCAAGCTTTCCCTTCCCTCATTTAGGCATTTTGGACACCTACTGCAGGATGAGACCTTTTTAATTTTAATCAACTTTTTAATTATCAGTAACAACATGAGCGCAAAATCAAGCCATGCATTGTTAAAAACAAAACAAAATAACTTAAACAACAACATGAAAAAGTGTTACTATGTCAGTGATAGGATTCTACGTATTCCTATGTTTTGAAGCTTAGAGTTTAAATTTGCCTTTGCACTGCGGTGTAGCTCACTAGCACCCTTAGAAAAGCTACTCAGTCTGGGCCAAGAGGAATCTCCATCTGAGACAAAAGGAAAAAAAAAATGTATTTTGCAGCTAAGTTCCTTGCAGGTTCATACTGCCTGTATGATACCATTATGCACAAGAAGTCTGAGTTCAAGCTGCACAAACAGCTTTCCTGCATTTCTTCACTTCTACATGCTTAACTTTACAACTTCATCAATCGTCCACTGTCATTTTTATATTCAATGCTGTACAAGCTTGTAGAAGCTTTTGCAAATGTGTCAGCTTCCTGGAGAACATTAAAAAAATCCTCTTTTCTGAAAGACCAGCAAAACCCAGTTCTAGATATTTTCAGGCCATTTCAACCACAACAGGAACATTATTTTGAACCCTATAAATTCAGCACATTCTCCTCCCCCAGAAAAACAATTTCTGTGGTGAGATGTTGCAATTTCAAGAAAACTAACCACTTACAAGGAAAGTGATGTCAGTAAGGTTTACAATAGCAAGGGCTCTTATTACAGAGATGCAGAAGCAAGTTATTTTTAAACCATGCAAAAGCTACCCTGGACGCACGCTGCCTGGACATACGCTGACTTAGCTCATAAGCCATGAGAATTAAGATGCAAAACCGCTCACAACATTGAGCTCAGAGTAAGAGAGGGGGAGCACAGGCAATGCTTGTGTGTATAAGTCTTGACAGGTGACACACTGGACCATCCTGCCCTGCCTCAGACTTCTGGAGATGCCGCTCTTGAACTGAGAGGAGACAGAGCAGCAGAGCACAACGTACAACAGACTGCAGACAGCCTGCCAGGAAATGAGGTCGCCCTGGCAGTCAGTGCAAGGAGGGCATTAGAGCTGGGCTGAGCCGCAGTCTGCTCTTAGTCGGCCTTTGAGCGCTCACCTGAAGTCTACTTTCTGAGCTCAGACTTCTTCCCCCTTATCCTTCAGCTGTGGCTCCTTTCACATCGTATCATCTGTCCCAGTCTTTCTCTGCTTTCTGTACCCTCCTCCCTCCCAGGGCACTACTTCTATTAACAGCATGTGAAAGTCACAGGTTTGTCCTCACCAAAAAGCAGAGAGGTGATGCCAGATTTCCTGCGCTGAGTTCTGCGCCGCACAACCTGCGGGATGGGGAAGAGCAAGAACAAAGTGCATATGTAAGGACAGACTTAAGAAATAAAATAAAGCATCTTCCACATGAGCTATCTCTGGGCAAGAGGCCATTGCAAGGGGCAGGCAAGTGACTTTGCAGTCTTAGATGTGAGTTGTTCTACTTCTAAAGCAATGAATCAGCTCTACTGCTTGATCTGGTCCATGTGCAACAGGTTATTTATAGCTCAATTATTATGAGAGCATTACTGAAATTCCAGAATCAACCATGACTCAAGTAAATAAATTCTAGGTTTACTTTAACCTGTTGCCAAAAGCAGCTCCATATGTAATTATATTTAAATTCTTAAGTGGATACCTATTACTTTTTAGAACAGCAGAAATGTCTTGTGATTAGCATACAGACAAACAGCAAGAACCTATCTTCTAAACAGGCTTGATGGACTACTAATGAATCTTATGTTACATCTGCAACTGTAGACTGTAGTGTGAGATTAAACATAGATGTATTTTTCACTCTGCTTTTCAAATGCTGCTGTTGATGTCTGAATGTGCCTTCCAAAAAGGGTTATTTTCGTGTCTCAGCTTCTCGCTAATGGATTGATTTCTATTCCTAACTCGTGCAGAGCACAAGAACAGTTCCAAGCAAATTCTGCCAAAAGCATATGCTGTTTCTTTTAGTGTCCATTAATGAAATGCATCACTTTCCATCATAATTTTCACTAACGACAACAACAGTTAATGTCCATATCTTTCTTGCCTCGGGCTTCATCAGCCAGGAGACGTTTGGCAGCATTTCCTGTTTTACAGACCTTCCTCCTCACTTCTGAATACCTTTTCTTCAAGGCATGACTTATTTATCCTTAAGCCAAACCCATCTCAAATAGGAGAACTTCTTCCTCCCAAAGAGCATTTGGGAGGAAACAGAGCTGCTCCATTTCCACCGTTGCCTTGGAGGCAGGTTGGACTGCGCTCTCACCTTGGATAAACTGTTGACGGTGGAGCTGGAGTTGAGCAGCTGCCCCTGGTCAGCAATGAGGTAGGCCAAGTGCTTGCGGCGCTGGGTCTCCACCGCGACATCAGTCAGGGAGCCGGCCACGCGCATGGCCTCCCGCAGCAGCACGTCTGCATCTTGGATCTGGCTCGGGATGTCTGAGAGGGTGTTGAAGATTGAGGCAGAATTCTCAGACTGGATTAGCTCATCCTCCTGTAAGGATGCAGTCACATTGCCACACAGAACAGTGAACCCGACAGCTATGCTCTTGGGCTGCTAGTTGTAATTCTATGCTCACCACACAGCTCAGGCTGGAAACAACCCAGGTACAATTATTCACCTCCATAATAAAGATCTGTTAGGAAAAGTCCAAGCTACCCTTGGGAGAGAAGCAGCATCTGTCACCGAGCTGAGATCTGCTTTAAAAATACTACCTGGCATGTCTTTACATCACAGCATCCATCACTGAAATGAAGCCAAATCACTAAAGACAGACAAATCAGAAGCTAATCTGCATCTACCACCATCACTGGACATAGCAAGGATCTTTCTGGGGACAGGGAAGCAAAAGCTGACCAGTCTCGCACATTACACAGCATCCATCTACCATGCCACTCAGCACTGCGCCTTCCCCTTGCTCCCAGCAAGTACCTATCCCTTCACATACCAAGCTGAACCACAGACTCGTTCCTCACATAACAGGGAAAAAGACCAGGTCAAATGCAAATTAGAAAAAAAAAAAAAAAAAAAAAAAAAACAACAAAAAAAAAACCCCCGTCCAGAAAATGAAACTGATTTGCTGGAGCATTCAGCAATGACAAAATTTCTCCCCAGATGGCTGCAACCTTGCTTTTGTATTTCTGCTCTGAGATGACACAAAATCAAGAGCTCTCTTGGTTCAGGTAGGATGGACCCTCAGGTTGGGATCTAGAATGAATAGAGGGGGCAGCTGGCAGGGGTTAATCATGAGACAAGGAGGGAGGGAAGGGAAATAGCATTCCCTGAATGTTCAGCAGTGCACTAGAGGTCTTCACAGCCCTAGTTCTGAGGGAGGCAGGGCATCTTCCCTGGCACACTCCCAAACCACACGCGGGAAGCAGACAGACAAAATGCTCTCATCCAAAGCATGCACAGTCAAACACCAAAGCACGAAGGAGGAGGCAGGAATTACCTTCATACTGAGCATGCCCAGTGTGAGCTGGAACAGCACCAGGGAGCCCTGGTAGAAGAACAGGTCCCAGATACGCAGCAGCAGCTTGATGTGGACAACACTAGCGAAAGAGGTGAGGAACCAGTGCAAGGTGATGAGGGACAGCTCTGTGAATGGAGACACAGAAAGGAAACATGACAGGAGAAGTCAGACATCACTGGTGAAGATGCACTCTCCTAAGTGCTGCTCTCCCAGTTTAAAGATGTCAGTGCACTGCAGTGGCCTGTTCTCTCTCTGTGAAACAGGCAAGTTAACCTTGGCCTGCACACCACCCTGGCCAGAAAACTGGGCATTTGAAACAGTCTTTTACCGATGTCGTGCTCCTGCAGCAGCTTGTCCAGACGGGGCAAGTACTGCACAATGAGCTGTCGCAGGACACGCTGATCTGTCTGCACCCCCATCAGGGTGGTGCTGAAGTAGGAGGCAGGCACCAGCTCCTCAATGATAGCACACATCATCCAGAAGGCATCTTCTTCCTCCAAGAAGAGCAGCAGGGAGGCTGCTACCTGGGATTTTGAAGGGAGAATTATTGCACAGCAGGCATGTCCTAAGAGGAGCAGGACTCTTCCCCAACCCTCCAGACCACTCCAGTCTAGGCTGCCAACACCTCTCCTCCTCCACAACAGCTTTCCTGTAGCCTCCCACTGAAGGGATTTCTTCTCAGCAAACTCCCTCCTTGGCAGACAGACCAAAGCACCCCATGTCCTTGCACATGTGTGTTACTCCTCTTTCCCGTCCCTTGGAGAACAGCTCCATTTGGAAGGGAGTTTGGTTCACACAGCGTCTGGCTGTTCGGCCTCAAATCGCTTGCCTCAGTGCAGCTACCTCAGACAGAAGGACCCTTAATGCAACAGCAGTAGAGAGCAGGTTACCATGCCAGTGCCTTGGCAATATCCTATCTCTGGATAGAGCCAGGCAAGTCCCCGGAGTATCCTGCGCAGACGTGGCACCCCGATGCTGTTCATGTTGGAGAAGCAGGCGTTGCTGGGCATCGTGCGGAGCAAGTCTTTCTCAATCTGCAGACAGCCACAAGCAAGGAAAGGGTCAGCCAGCAGCATGTGAAGAGTCCCCTTCTTTCTGCTCCCTGCACCTCTCCCTGCCCTAGCCACATACTCTGCTTCCCCACACCAGAACTAAGCGCTTAAAAGCACCCAAAGTGATGGCCCTGTCCAAGCACTTGGAGTCAGCTTAACATCCTTGGCTGACACCTGGGAGAAGGCCAGCATGGACATTGATCTAGTGGCCCCAAAAAGCACTTGCATGAACTTAGCCCCTAGTTTCACACCGAGAAGAGCATGTGTGTGACTGCAGCACGGTCTTCTAGTCCACAAGTAGCATGGGGCAAAACCCTTCCCTGCCCTCCTATGACTCCTCCTCTGCCCTCCTCCCTTACTACCCCAACAAAACAAACTAGAAGTATGCCCAGTTGGGTAAGACGCAGTAGGATTCAGTCTCCCAATTGCTCCTACTCTGGGCATTAGGCAGACATCCCTTTCCCCTCATGCAGCAAATCCTGCCCTTCTCCCCACACTCCTGTGTTCAGTTGGCAGCAGGCTGTGTGTCCCACCTGTTTGGCAGCAATGGTTTCATCATTGGAGCTGTTTTTCACAATATCCCGATACGACATCTCTGAATTTCTCTTCTTCTGCAAGGCCCCAGACAGACGCATCCATAGCTGGGATGGCACAAGAGACAGCAAGAGTCATGAAGAGAGCCACAGAAAGCCATAAGGGGACACCTTCTCCAAGTGGTCTCACTCCACAAGCTCTTATCCCAGGCAAAAGGGTCTGCCCAGAGCAGGCAGCGCACTCACCTGTGGCCTCATGCTGTGTGGGATGCCAGCCAACACCAGCGAGCGCAGCTTGTCTGAATGCGGTAGGGTGACCTCAATTTTGTCCCACGTGAGGTCACCCACGTCATGGTTGTGTGTGAACTCCAGGTGAGCTTGCCACTTGAGCCTCTGCTGGGGCTCTTCTGTCAGTGGGATCCCCAGAAGCTTGCTGCAGTTTGGCTCACCACTGTCTGCCTCAGCAGAGGAAAGGGAATGAAAGGGAGAAGAGTCAGAGTCAGAGGAAAGCGTGCAGGGGGAGGCCACCTGAAGGAGGTGCATAAGAACATGCGCACCTTGCAGCCAGAGCAGGGGAAGGCAAAGCTTGGTTTCTTCTGCCTTCTCCACACAGCAAATTTTGTGGTCATAAGCAAAGGGTACTGGGGCCTTGAAACGTCAGTGTGGTCAGCAGGCCTAGTCTCCATTTATGATTTAGAGCAGAAGGTGGCTGGAACTGAATGATCCTCTGGCAGCTGCAGGGTTTTGCAAGGATCTGTAAATCGTGCTGGCAAAAGCACAGCAAGCCTCAGAGGGGGAAAGCAGGAGCTATATGCTCATACAAGGCACAATGTAATGTAATGTACAGATGTAATGAGGCACAAAACATTAGCATCAGGGATATTTAATAGCCCCCCTCGCAAAAGCTTCAGTAAGGCCACTTGTAAATTTATGAAGAGAGACAGCTTTAACCTGGTCCTGACTTTCTAAAATAGGCATTTTAATGTACTACAAGGCACGGATTTGACATAAGGCACTCTGTCCTTCATCGTCTAACAAACAGATCCTAACAATACAATCTAAATGCTTTTTGCTGACTTTATAATGCACATGTCTATCAAACATTCTGACTGGAGAAAACTGTCCTCTGTCCTGTCCTCATCTGCAGATCATTGCTTCAAGGAGCCTCCTCTGTGTCTCAGGGTGCCTCAGGGCACACACACACACACACACACACACCCCTCTTTTCAGGGCTCCTACAATGCAGTTTCCTCTCAGAGCACAGAAAGCATTTCCTACTGCCCCTCACTCCTTCCTCTTCTGCCTCTTTTGCAGAAGCAGCTAACTCTTTCACTTCAACCCCCATCTACAATAGCTCTCCAGATCTCCACCTGGTCTCCCACCTCTATGCCTTGCAAAAAAAAGTGTTATATTGGTACTCAAATATCCTTTCCCAAGCTGCTGGGATGAGTAGAAAACACAGAAAACCTCGCAGCCAAGACAAGTGTCTACAGTATTCAATACACAGCACGTGTCACTGCCTGCTAGCATTGCTCATGGTGCTGCTGACCAGAACAGGGAGCCCACTGGGAACTGGGAAGCCTGCCTCTCCCCAGCACTCAGCTGCTAATGGAGATAGATTTTCCTCTCTCCTTTACCCATGGCACAGAAATAAATCTGTAACATATTCTAGGCTCCAGGTGCCTGCAGGATCAGCACTTCTAATACACAGCCCTTTGTAACAATGATAATACAAAGAAAGAAGATGGATGGGGGATAGAGAAGACCTAGCACAGAAGGATTGGAAAAATCACCTTTCCATACTCAGGAGAATGGGAATAGCTGGAATTGGGGCATATTTGAAGGGTGAGGAATGGGACTGGCTTTACCTTCTTTATCAACTCGGAAACCAAATTCATCATAGTGGAACTCCTGCTGCTCGATGGATTCTTCTTTCTGGGGGACATGAGAAAGGAGAAGAGACCTTCAACAAACCATCACTGAGCAGCTGAACATGGACATGTGGACACTGCCCCATTCAATCCCACCATTGCCAGCTCTGTGGCCCCTGAGCAAGGGGATTAACTGTTCTCTAGACCCTTATTTTCTGTGTCTCGCCACAACAGCAGTTGCAGAGGTAGAACACACTATTCCCATTCTGGCTTCTCTGCGGAAGACAGCCCTGCTTTCTCACCCACATATTTCCCCAGCAGTCCCTTTTGCAAAAGGCCTTAGTACACCTTGTTGAGGATGGCATCAGATTGATATCAGAACTTGCAGCAGCCCCTACACAGAGGGGCACACAGTCCTAACACCCTCGGGATTTACAAACACCAGCTAGCAAGGTCTCTGCTGTCTGTGCCTCTTGTACGCAGCTTGCCCTCTGTGCACATACACAGAAAATTCAGCTCCTGGCATCACCCCTTTTCTTGCTTGCTGCTTTCAGATCTTCCTTGAAGACAACAGGATTTGCACCCATACAGCAAGCCTGAATTCCAGGCCAAAGGAATTAAGCTCCATGGCCCAAATCTCACCTTTGCTCACCCATATCTGTGGCTAGTATCGATACACGGGTGTTTACAATCAGGAGGCTTATTCCAGGAGTGAAAACCTACCGGTATCTTCCCATACGTGCAGGCCCTGCACCCACCCCTCTTGTACGGTCTCAAAGGAGTTGCACATAGGCACTGCTCCAAAGCAAGCTTCAACCTGCTTCACTGGGCTCAGCTGTCCGCAGCAGACACTGCGGGTAAGGTTATGAAAGTCCATGGCTGCTTCCTTCCTGCTCTGTCCCCACCTGGGGAGAAGTCTTGGGGCTAGCATTTCCTGCCAAGCACAAGTCATCCTGATAGCTAGATGATGACAGAGACTCCCTCCCCTAGAATGTCAACACTTTCACAGTGGAGCAACAGTTGCAAAAGAGCAGAGCAATAACTCAAAAACAAGCAACAAGTTTCTTTACACTCTGCAAGATCCTCTTGCAAGAGGATGCAGCCACAAGATATGTGAAGTTTAAGTAGCAAACAAGCTTCCATAATCCACTCACAAGGAGGAGTTCATATCCCCCTTCTCCCTGGAGCTTGCAGAGACCGACAAATCACCAGTACCCCTTTACTTTTGTGCAGAGCCCGAGAACGCGTCCCACTCCGTACCTGTGCATACTTTGCCAGGATCTCCTGTGGCCAAATGCTGGGGGTGAGCGCTGAGAAAGGACCCCCAGCAGAGGGAGTGTGCTGCCCTAAACAGACAGAGACAGACACATGTAACAGTGAAAAGCCATGAGGGCTCCCCTGGTGCGCACTCAGTGCGGACATAATTCCACAAGAAAAGGACTCTCTGAGTAGTTTGTCACTACTGCTAATCTAGACATTTAGACAACTCTTACTATATCAAGGAAGAAAATAACTTCAGAAGCTTTTATCCTGTATTATTGAGCAAAGGCACCAAAAGGACAAATTGAGTTCCCTAAGGGAACGGGACTTTTGGGGAAACAAAATAATTCCATGGTATCGTGTGATCTTTCCTCTTCTTGAAAAGGTGGGTTCTAATGTGCCAAGCCAGGAAACTATTATGGAAAAGTTGTTATGGAAGATCATGAGCTATGTATGGAATCCAGCAGCCCTTCACAGTTCCCTGAAACCTTGTCACCAGGATGCGAGTCCTTAGCAGGAGGCCTGTCTGCTCCCTCTGCCGCAGTGGCTGCCAGCTCCAGGAGAACAGAGGGGCTGGGATACTGCTGCCATCGCTGCAGGTTTGCCAGACCACTTGCAGAGCTCCAACAAGGAAAGTAGCATCTTATCTTTTGTGTCCAGGGAAAGCACCCTCCAAGCCTCGGGTAGTATGCCCCTCAACTGCTTCCCTTGGAATAAAAGCAGAAACTCTGTAACAAGATAAGCACCCTCCAGGCTGCTTGGCATTACCTACGAAAGGGTTTGCTTGGCTCCGAGGTCTCCTCTGCTACTCTACGCCCTGGAGTAACCAGCTTTCTCAGCAGGGAATGCCTGGATAAAGGCATGGGGTGGGAAAGCTGGCCACTGCATGAGGGATGTCCTGGAGGAGACCTAGTACCAAGAAAACATGTGTCTCTTGCTCACTGTTGCAATCCTGTTACTCTTCACCCATCTTCCTGTTTTAGAGCTAGCAGTTTATAGCAAGAAACCTTCTCCATGTCTGTAACACCTACTTTGCGAGCGGCTCTTGGGATGCAAAAAGAACTAAGCAAGTCCTATGGAAAATGTGGGAGGCAGACTAAAATAAACAAACTAAATTCACCCTGAGTGCAAAGAGGGTTGGATCACAAAGAATAGGGTTGACTCCTTTCCCTAGGTTTGACCAAGGCAGTACAGTAACGTAAAGAACAGCTCCTTGAAACAGTAACTTTCTTTTAATAAACTGCAGCTGAAGAAAGAGCATGCAACCAAGATATTGGGTCCATTTTTGTCTTCTTACCTGACATTGCACTACTGAAGGCTGAGTGGCAGAGGCTGTCAGTAGGTATCCAGATACACTGTTCTCAGAGGTGAGGGGTCACTGCCCTGTTTTGAAAGGAAAAAATAAGAACTGATGATGAGCAAACAAAATCAGCACCTGAGAATATAGTGGGAGACAACTCCCTCACACACAGATTCCCCACACAAAAATTACTTCCCTTAGAATTGAAGTTCCCCAAGGGAAAAATCAAATTCTAGAGACTGGAATTCCCTCTAGGTTTCACATTTACGCATCAGCTAGAAAGACCTCAACGATACTTACCAAATTCCTTGCAACAGTAACTGAATCTCTGATTCAAAGTATACCAAAAATCAGGTCAACTTTCAGCACCTTTTATTATTTAAATATGAGCACTAAAAAAAAGAAAAATGTATACCTTCATTCTCTGAATTTGCTGCCCATGGAGACAGAGCCATAACAGTGCAAGGGGCTTTAGGGGATGTCACTAGATGCAATAGCCTAGAACACATTTGGGGAGTAGCATCACAAAATGCAGAAACAGCGTGTGGAATATGCTCCCAAAGGGAGCTGCAGAAGCTTCTGACATGGATTTTGTGATGAACTGGACCAAACTGTGGAGAACATACTGCAGAGCACCTTGGCAACAGGCTAGGAGCTGAACTCCTCTGAACGAAGCTTAATGACTGAGCTTAGGGGGTGAAACAGGCTGCACAGCTCAGCTCCTTACCTTCCTACTGGCACTTTGAGGCAGGTTTTCATACAAATTTTCCAGGGCAGCATGGAACAGTTCAGTAAACACTTTGCATCAAATAAGGAAGTTGCTATGATTCTTTATTTTTCAGGCTTTAATAAATATAAACACCTCTTCCCCCTTCCTCGGGGATACATATTTTGGACTCCACGAGCAACATCCTAATTCTGGGAGACAGGAGGGGTCACCTCTGCCGAGTGGATGCTCATACCTGCTTGGAAGAGAACCTGAGGGAAACTAACACTTGTGGGCCTTGCCTTGGTTTTCCAGCTTTCCCTTTTCAGCAAAGCTACTTCGGTCTGCAAACCACCAAGAGCAGGAACCTGAGCACTGCATTCAGCAGCCTGTTCTGATCTGTTTCCAGCGCTTCATACTACACGGTTACAAGTAGCACTTCTGCCTTTGCACCTCAGTGAACTTTCTAGCGAACGCCGGCATCCTAGGCTTGCTGCAACAGTCCAGGGTAGGCAGCTGGGAAACACTCCAAAGGCATAAAAAACATCTGTGTTTGAGAACACAAATAATAAGCTGCTTCATCCCAGACCTAAGTACTTGTCTTAATGAGAAAAACCGGCCTGGATGAACAGACGCACCAATCTTCGGATGCCCATGAAGTATCTCCCCCTGCAACTCTCCCCTCAAAAACAGCTTTTGTTGCTGAAGAGAAGTTACCTTGACACACACAGCAGCCAGTTGTTGCCCACGAGTTCTGTAAATGCCCCTCTACCCTGCCCCAAATCCTGGCCTACTGCTCTAGTCCCATTTGTTCATTCAGCAGCAAGGCTTCCCCCGGCATCTTAAGACATCAACAAGATCTATGGAATGAGCCCCTGCAGGCTTGCTTTGCATGTATGGGAACTGAGCATGTACACCCAACAGGTGCTGACCATGTTTATTCCCCTTTCAAAGTAATTCTGAATGTATTTTGACACCTCTAAAAACAGCATCTGTCCTGCTACCACATCTGTTCTACTCTTGGGCCTATGGGTTTCTCCCCCTACTTATTTCAGCCCAGTTCTCCCCGTTTCCATTGCCTTTTCCTAGGAACACAGTTGTTATCTGGTGCAGAGTTTGTAAACCAGGGGTCAGAATATAGCCCATAGTTGGGGCTAGATGAGTTTGTGCTCAAAGCTTCCAGCATGTGAGCTGGAATCCCTCCACCTCATTATCAACCTGCATCTAATGCACACTCACAGCTGAACCAACCTGTTTCGGAGGAGCTGGGCCAGCGTCCAGGGCACAGCTGCGGAAAACAGCCTGTACCTAGTGCACTAACTTGGGTGCTCAGGAGGGAGAGGAGGAGAGAAGTGAGGCCGAAGGTCCCTCCTCATCCCGCACAGGTGCAGCAGAGAGGAGCACCTTCCCCGTCCACGTCAGCAGACGCTGTATCCGCCTCTCCGAAGAGCGCTCCCCTGCGTTCCCTTCCCCAACCAGAGCCGGATATTACGGATCTTAGAGCACTGAACTTGGCCGGCAGGTTTTTCCTGCCTCTGGTTTCCATGGAAACCTTCAGGAAAGCACCCATCTGGGCCCTGGCCAGAGTGGCTCAGCGCGCAAGGGCCGGGTGGAGAGGGTGAATCACCCCAGGAAAGCAGCAGAGCAGCTCCCGCCGCAGCACCATGAGGCAGCACAGTGGGAGCTGCCCCAGGAGCCATGTGTCCCCAAGCCAAGGTGCTGAGGCCACCATGGCACCCTGTCACTCCTCACCATCCTGCTTTCTGCCCCTCTTCTGCGCAGCCTCCAGGAAAGCATCACGGGAGCTGGGAGGAGAGTTTCCTACCACAGCAGCCCTAAGAAAACAAATATTTAAAAAGTAGCACACCTGGAGCAAACAGACTGTATGGAAGCAGAACAGTTTACAAAGTGATGTTTTGCATGCTGGAAATGTTACAGCTAGTGACGACGCAGGGAACAGCCAGTGGGAGTCATCTTGGGACCAGAACAAACACGACAATTCTTTCTAGAATTATTTCCATCCACCCTCCAGAAACAGTGTGTACAATCACTCCTGACAGTAAGTTAACACAGGGAAAAACACTACTTTCAATCAGGCTTAATTCGAGCACGAAGCAGCGCTTGGCATGCATTGAATCCCATTGTCCCCTCAGCACTGTCAGTTGGTTTCTACTTCTATGCTCGCCCTTTTTAAAGGAACAGGACAGGCCAAAAAAAGTGTTTTAGAGAGGAAAGTGCAACTGCAAAGCTGCAATACTCATCAGGAAGCCATGCACTTAGGTGTAATTCTAGAAACCTCTTTCAGTCCACTTCCTAAACTCGCAGATCACCTGCAGTCAATTCAACATCTAGACCAACTCATCTCCTTTCAGACATCAGATCAAAAAAGTCAGCATCACTGTGGTGGAAAGCCTTGTTTTCTGAGTGAAAATCCTGACTTGCTCTTTGAAATGCACAAGGGGAGCTCTCAGCAGAAATCCTGTAATCCCCCTCTGCCTTCCCTTCCCCCCTGGATTTCTCCTTCAGGTCAGGTAAAGGCATATCCTGGAGCTGCAAATGCCATTAGTTCTCCATGTCAATATTTGCTTTGCACACATGCAATCAGAAGGAAACTCTGACTCCACCAAGTCAGCAGCTGAGCACAGCACGGCCACACGCGTGAGCAAGGCATGAGCAAGCAGCAGGTAATTCCTGTCTCTTGCACCCAGGGCTTCTTCTTAACCAGTGCAGAGCCCTGCACAGACAGTAGCACATACCAACTCCTGGTTAAATGGCCGTGTGTTGCTGGCAGGCTGCAATCATTCCAGGAACGCTCTGCTTCAGGTTTACAAGGCACCCGTCTCACACTCTGCCGGCTGTTGCTCAACCCTTTTCAGAGGCAGGACGGAGGTGCTTTCTGCCACAGGTGGCTGCATGACTTGGGACAAAAAGTTGAGGGACTTTAAATGTCTTCCGCCGAATTTCTCCTAAGAATTGAGTCAGACATCAGCTGGAACAAAAGTTTATGGCATTCCCCTCTCCAGGTATGCAAGACCTCTTCCCAACTGCACCAGGACTGTGTTACATGTAGAGTGAGTGACATGAAACACAGCCAACAAAAAGTAAACTGGAGCTCTGTGTGTCCCAGCACAAGGCATCTCGTACAGCCCCAGCCGCACTGGAAATGTCATTATGGGCAAAAATGCAACTAAGAGGTATTTCCACACAGCAGATCTGCTCCCTGCGCTGATCAGTATCAAGTGAGTCTGTTTGCTATAATGAGAGGGAGAGCAGACAGGAACAGAAAGGGTTGAATTCAATTCCAGATTATGGAAAAGGGAGCGAACAAGTAATTTCCAGCAGCAGTGACATTTACCTTTCAGCTCTCTTTTGAAAATAAGGCCACAAAAAAGCTGAATTCCATTTCCTAGTGCTCATGCAGAAGGCAGGCAGAACCCAGCCTGCCTTCCTGACCACAGTTCAGCACATCGTACTTGGCTCTAAAAAGCCTCTCTGCAACGTCTGTGGAATACAGACTTCCTACAGAACCATAAACATGGAAAACCACAACTCCAACACAGTTTTTTTGAGAGAACTGTCCTTCATTCCTTCATCTGGCTCCAAAGCAGATGGCTGATGCCTTATGCAGGACACAGTTCGAAAAAGCCTTAGGGTCTGCCTGAAGATCTTGTTTCTATACCTGAAGATAGCAGAGGCTTCCCCCATGTGTCTAAGAAAAAAAACAAAATTTCTTAGTTAGGGTTCTGCTGATTCCCTGGGTTGCTAATACAAACTTTCCAGGGCTACTTCTGACTCTGGAAAGCAGATGTTGTCTGATCTTTCAGACAACACACAATTAGTTCCTGCTAAGCTGAACTACACTGCTGTGGAGAAGAATGTCTTGTTTGCCAAGATGCTGGTGAGCAGAGGAAGAGACGCTTCCCCTCTGCTCGTGTTTCCATTATTTTGGGAATATAGTGTGCTCCCCTCAACACACACACACACACATACACACATAAGATCAAGACAATACAAGCACAAGAACAATAGTTTAAAAACACAACAATCAGTAAAAACCAGCACTGGAAAAGGCTGAAAAAAAAGCCAAGATGATACAAATAAGATCTCTCCCCTCACTTTAAACACACACGGAGGAAAACTCAGGTGTGTGCCAAAACGTGGGTCTGCGATTGTCCATGTCTTCAAGGCCTAGAGTAAAAGCTGTAAAGGTGACCTTGCGTTAAACACACCCACACAAACATAATCCATTGATGTCTGAAGAATGTCTAAGGGATCTCCAGACAACTCTTCTGTTAGAGTCAACTTCTGCATAATAATAGGCAGTTTCAGCCAAACAGTCATAGAAATAGGACTTGAGTAGAACTCTGTAGAAATTCAA